TAACTCAGCGACGTGCAAGTCATGCGGCGTCATGTCGGTTATGCCTATGTGGTAATCCGGTTTCGTACCATGTCCTATGTCACTTGCGCTGACGAGAATGTTGCCTCGCCACGGTGCTTGTGTGCCAGTGGTGGTCATAGAATTAACGAGTTCATTAATTGGGTGGCTTTTGATGCAACTCTGGTAGTCCGCGATTGTCTGAGGCGGCCCAAAAACCGTGTAAGCTTTCTTTAGTAGGCGTGTGTCTTCCAATGGCCACGAGCGAACGGTTATAGCTTCTTCTTCTTGGTCGTATGAAGACGCGCTGTTCATGGTTCCCAAACCCTGCCAGCGAACCGTGTCGAGATCAAAAGGACCCTGAGGTTCAGTCACTCCCAGTCGCAGAGGAACGTCCACAAAAGCAGGTTTGTCCAGTCCCGTGGCGAACAAGAGACAACGGTAAGTTCGGTCGTGAGGCTGCGTTTGACTTCAGTTAGCTGCTGAAGAGAGACAAAGGACGTCGTACTGGTGGTAATATGCTGATGTCTTGTGCAATGGCTTGACAAAGACGTTGGTTAAAAATTGGCACCATGCCCATTGAAAGGTTTAAGCTCAGTGTCACGGCGCAGTCACGCTTTGCTCACCTTCTTTACTCACCTTGATCCGCTCAACGCGTCAACTCGTACTACATTTCTCCATCTCACCCACTGGCCGCTTCTCAATCTCACCCTTCGTAACAAGCTCCTGGTTGATCAACCTGCGAAGTTTCTAGGCTTGGTCTTGGGTTGTTCCATAGAGCGCTTTCAAATATTTGCGCTTGGGAGGCGAATTCAACGAGTTCGCTCTCCTGTTATGCTTCCTACTTCTCCAGTTGTTTGGGTCAGTGCTATGTCTTCAGTCATGTTCTGGTTCAACTATGTGTAGGATGTGCCCCCCAACCAACCTTTGGTCGACTATAACACTCGCTTGGACGCCATGCTGCATAGAGTGTCACTCCGCCAAAACGTGGTCGGAGTTTATGGTCCTAGCCGCAGAGCTCTTTGTGCCATCTCAGTCTGCGGCGGCGCTTGCTAGTCAACTTGCGCAATTGCAATGGCAAACTCATTGCGTAAAGGTCTGGCATATATTTATAATCATCGCGCAGAACAACGCGCTGGGAGACCGTGTGCGCGAATGCAGTGAATCCTTGCCAGCCTTCTGGGACTGGTTAATGGTGTTCGTGCGCTGTGGTGTGGAGTTACGACTGCCTGGAGTGGAGATTCAAGAGGATGTCGTATTGATTTGTGGCGCGGCGTTGGCCTCCTTCGCGCAACATCGCATTCTGACACGCCCGATTATGGAAATGCACAGCGCTTGGGAATTCTTGTTCAATCAACTGGACCTTCTGAGTCGGGGCACTTCAAACGATGCAAGGCAAGAACATGTCATGGCTGTCGGAGCATTGCGCGTCCTTTGCTATGTGGATGTGCCTCCTATTGACATCGGTCAGCTCCGACGTTTCACGGCGTCTGAACTAGCGCAAATAACTCTGGCTTGCATTGAAGTGCCCTTTCGTTTGGCATCCACCGACCCTTTTCAACTAATCAGTTGGCTTTTTGCAACCTTTCGCCTGCTGTTTCTTATGATGCAAGCCTATCCCGACGACGCGTATGTGGATGCCCTGGTTGACGGCGGTGCTTATACCCTGTTGAGCTCGGTCATGAAGAGAATGTGTGCCTATGGGCCCTGCGAGTGGCATGAGAAAATACCCTTATTGGACACTGTGATGGAGGCGTTTCACAACATCGTTAATGGAAGAACTCATCAAGGTCTATGGGCTTCAGCAATTGAAAATGGTATTATCGAGTCCTGCTTGCTTATCCTGCGGAACGGTTGCAGGTGCGCGGTCGGAGGCACGACTACTTGATTTTCTATTACTGGGTATTGGGCGTTCTCTTTGGCATGTTGGCGTTGTTGAAGCACTCAGTACACGGTCACTTCGCATTCGCGGTGCCCTGGAGGGTCTTAATCTGGACAGGAGTGCCATCTCGGCTTTATTCAACTTCCATTCAATTATTGACCGGCACACTCGCCTTTACCGTGCCGTAGTAGCGGTGCATGCTCCAGTTCTAAGAATGTGCGACGGGGTTTGTGCACGACTTTCCGAGTAGAACGTTGGTGCTAATTTGCTTGTAGTGTGGTTCCATACGCCCTCGGAATGAAGTCCGCCGTTGTGCAGGGTGTAAGACCGCTTACTTTTGCGCAAGACCTTGCCAGCGTCAGGCATGGTCAATTCATCGGAGAACATGCGAAATCTTAGGGAGGACCGTTATGCGTGTGTAAACTCTCCTTCAAATATGACTTGTAATGTTTATATATTTGCAGGACTGCGCTTAGGAAATATAGATCGAGCTCAGCAAGAGTTTATTCGTTGCATTATGACCCACTACTTCAAGGTCATGTTTACGGACATTCGCCGTCAAATGTTGGATTTCTGGCAACACCGTCCTACGATGAATCCAGTGCTAGTTTTCCGCTTGGACCTCCGTCCATTCGCAATAAACTGCGTAGATCTGCACGGTTGCGATGAATACGGGGCAATGCTTGAGTGGGGCTCAGGTGATCCCTTCACTCAACTTGATTTGCACAGTGGCCGGATGACGCCGGACCTTGTGGTGGTGCATTTGGGCACTCGGTGCGTTGCTTGGTTCATCATGCGTTGCTCCACTGTCAGTATGAACGAACACTGGTGGACTAGCAACAGAACGGCCCCGCCAGATGTTTTTCATGCGTAGCGCGTCAGTTGCAAAATAGAGAGGCGTGGAGCCTGCGTTCTTTGGCAAGACTGAGGTCACGGACATAATTTACCATGTTCAATTCGTACTCTAAGAATCACATCTCATCCATTTACGTTGACTCTGAGTCTGAATTTCAATTTCTGTACAACACCCATAGCGGAATGCCGGAGAACGGCAATTGGTTGATGCAAAGTGACACATGTGACTGCTGATTACTTGCTCCTTGGCATCACCGTTCGCGGCTCGTATGTTCCCCAACAACTTGCGCAATGCGAAATTGACTGGCTCTTCACAACACCAGAGCGAGTCACCGTCAAAAGTTTCGGATGGAATTGCGCTTCGTTGCTAACGATGCATCGGAGAGGAGTCGTTGTCTTTTTGCACTCTTCCGAGGGAGACACGATATGTGAGTCGCAGCAGTCTCGTAGCCACACCTTTGATACTTGCTTAGCATATGCTTGTACCGCATAGAACGACACCTTTTCTGGTTACCTTTCTCTGGGAAGCGCTCGAAGGATTGGAGGCCCACGCGGCTTTTTATGTTCTTGGATGTCTAGTCTTTGTAGCGGCAGCCAGGGCGTCCAATCTAGTGTCTTCCTCTCTCAGCTGTTCGGATGGATGAGTGGTGAATAACTTGGGGTCAAAACCTCTCAGAATGCGGATGGTCTCCCGACCATGACTCCTTGACAATGCAACGTATGCATTGAAAGCCGTCAACCTGCCAGATGGTGGATTGCCTAAGTCAATGACGACATACGGTATCGTTTGGCCTTGGGACTTGTAATCGGTAAATGAATACCCTGGGGTCACAGCATATTGTTTGCGCCCAATGGTTTCGAGATCATGCGCTGTGCGAACATCAAACTTTGCAACAGAAGGCACAATCGGTATGATTCCTGGTGGTAACCCTTCGAACGGGCGGGAATGCGGTGTGGTAGGGCTTAAACAGCAGGACAGCTGGTGGGTAGTGCAAAATGGTTTCGTGCGATGCAGGGTCTTCTTTCAATGGCATTGATTCTCTGGGGTCTAGAACAAGATCCACAATGACACCCCGGGTTCCATTTGCCAGTTCAGCTTCCGTGGATATGTTCCACAAGACCATAGCCTCCATTCCAATCGCGATTTCAATAGCATCTGGAAGTCTGCTCGATTTTTTGGTATCAACACTTGCGACCGCGAGTCTTTGCCAAGCATCCAAGTTGGCCTTTGTCTTGACAACGAAATCTTCGCTCCGGCACTGATAAACGCGATTCCCAGTGGTCATCATGTGCTTTCTCAACGAGTGCGTGTTCCACAGCATTCTTGTGCTATGTCTTGGTGTCACCAGAACTGATTTAGCCCAAGGGTCCTTATCCCATTCGACTGAAATGGTATCAGGGTCATCGACCAATAAATGGTTTAAAATTTCAAGGTCGTCCTTGGTGCATTCTCCAACGCCGCAGTCTCTTAAGTAACGCCATCCAAGATGCATCCGTTATTCTTCTTTGTTCGGTCAGCGTCACGACCGTGTCGAATTGCAAGTACAAACTCAATCCTTCAGGGGACACCTTGGGAGAGTCCTTCAACGCATAAAACAACGCTTCTCTTGGATTGCCAACTGGTGGGAATTGGTGCAAGTCCCCGACCAGAATGACATTGACCAAGCCAAAGGGGTCAGTTGGTTCTGCTTCGTGCGCCTCTTTCTTAACGATAGCCATGATTTGCGACAGTAGATGCAAGAGCCGTTTCGTGAGCATGGAATACTCGTCAATCACGAGATATTTGACAGGTCGGATGTTCTTGGTGCGTTTATCTTGAGTGGGTTTGGCCCCCCTAACGCTTGTGTCGCTTATTGAAATGCCCGCCCAGTTATGAATAGTTTGACCTGCAAATAAGCTAGCGGCCACACCGGTTGTTGCAGTCATGGCAAGCATATGTCGCACTCCCTGGTCTTCGAAGGATTGAGCAATGGCTTTCAGTACAACGGTCTTTCCCGTTCCTCCTTCCCCCTGGATGATCATCAAAAGTTGACGAGGCTTTGCTCCTGACAGCGTTTGGCGCAGGTGATCCACGACGATGTTGTGAGCGCGAGATTGCTCTGTATTAAGGGTCGGGCCAGCGGAAACGTTGCGATCGGGAGTTATATCGGTGACGGAGCCTTTGTCCAATGCAAGCATCGAACTCAAGCCTCTTCCCTCTCGTCCACCATTTCCCAAAATTTGAATGTGACCCAGGTCTGCACCACCAACGTCTAGTGTGGTTTCCTCAACGAATTGTGGGCTTTTTCGTATATGCGGCAATTTTTTTGCCCCAGGCATGAAACTTCGCCATATCATCTATCGTGGCTTGCTTGGCAGGTGGTAGGAGGCTGCGAGAGCTTTTATATTCGTGAGCAAAGATGCCTTGACCAAACGCGATGTCCACAGCTTGTTGTCCGAACATGCGTTCTCGCAAGCCCTGGCGATTTTCGCGAGCGTATGCTATTTCCTCCTCACTCGGCTCTTTAGATGCTGATGTTGTAGGCAGCACGCCAATCATCGCGTCATGATCAACAGTGGTCTTCTTCTCTTTGACCACGCTTTGTTGTTCGGTTTCTTCCCGTCTTCGAGATGCTTGTGTACATTCGTGGAAATATTGGATATTGGTGATAATTCTCAATTGTTCAGGGGTGGCTTGCTGTTGAAATAGTTGAAACGCAGTGCAAAAGGAAGTTTGCCCGTTGGCAAGGTCATGCAGACTACGCCACGGTTGAAATAGCAACAGCATCTGAGCACTGTAATATTCCCCTGCAGCACCTGTTAGCTCTTGTTTGGGAAACCATTGTCCAATGAAATGGAGGTTGATCTCTTGACCTTTGCCTCTGAGCACACGACAGTGACCTTCCCTTTTGGTGCCTTTACGATATGGCACTCGAATGCTGCGAGGTCGACCGCGCTTACGAGGAGCCACGGGTATATCAGAGGAAACAAGGGTTGTGTGTTCTGGTAAGACTTGTGTGCACGTATCTTCCGACTCAGCATCGACCTCCATTCCATCGGCAGTAGGGTCATTTTCCTGAGCCACATCATTGAGGGTCATCTTGCCATCGTACGTGAGCGTGAAATAGTCATAAAAATTCATGTTTGCAAGAGCATCGCCGCGGTCTTCATACTCTTTCAGTTGGTCTTTTAACACTATAACACCATCTGAGTCCCGTGTAAGAGAAATCCTCCCTCCCTAGATTGATAAGTGAATGGCTTCCGAGATGCTATAGACAAAGTTCAACGCACCGTGTAGTCGTCGACATTTTCTGTAGTCATTGTAGAACGGAATTCATGGTCGTTCCTGTCAGCCTGAGCGTTAATATTGGTGCGGAGTGCTAGACCCAGATGCATACGTTATGGTGCCAAGGTAGGGGAAAAACCGACGTAATTGTGCTGTTATTCGATCCCAGTAGATTGTGACATAGCTGTGCGAGATGAATCGATCTCCCCAGCCCATCAGGTAGCTGACCACCTCGGGGCCGCTGAATTCTTGTTGGCGAGTAAGAATGTTGGAGCAAGACTGTAGAAGGCGTTTGTTTTTGTCCAAATTACGCTTCTGTCGTGCGGATAGCTTTTCTTGAAACTCGAGGGCTTTAGCCATCAACGCGGAGGCATTGGCGGTTTGGATCTGGCGTTTTGCGATGTAAAGCGTGATATAAAAAGTGATATCTTTTGTTTCTGCGCCGTTGGTAATCAACTTGAAGTCGTTATTGGCGCGCGTGACTTGGAGCAACGGAGGGTTCCAGGCGTTGATTTTGGCATAAAGTCGTTTTGGTCCCCAATCTCCTGTTTCAGTAACCCAGTCGTTGTCAGCCGTGCGCCAAGGAGCTCTCCTCTTGCAAACTAAACGCCCATTTTTGACTTTGAGACATCTATTGACATCGCAGTCATGAGTTTGAACAGCACGAGCAATGCGTGATTCAGCCTCCGCTGACCGAGTCTCATAGCCTACGGTACGCGGGTCTACCGGTCTTGAGAAAGAAATGTTGGGTTTTACAGGTAGGGACAACAGCATTTCGCCAGTTGTGTTGGGGATGTGTGCACGGATATTTTTCGCGATGAAGTTGGCCATCTTCACGCGAAAAGATTCGGATAGCAAGGCGTTGCGCATGACGATTGCAGTGGGAGCTCCTCGAAGCCAAAGAAGAAGGTGTAAATGTAGGGATCCTCTTGCTTGGGCTTCTACAGTGCCAATGTATCCGTTCACATAGCCTATGACGCCACAAGAACGTTGAATAGTACCAAGAGTGTTGACTTTGATACCGAACAACTCTTCAAGAATGACTTTCACAAAGAGATGAAAATATTCTGCTGAAGCGAAAGGGTCTGCAGCAATTCGAGTACTGCGAGTCTCGCTGTTTGGGCCCAAACTTGCCACAAAATGGTCCAAATCGATGTCTGCGCCGGCCAAAACTTGGGCAATAGGATCAGCTGTGTCGTTCAGATTGATCGTTGTCCAAATACTCGGCGGATTAAATCTTAGCGTCATACCCCCACACTTGCGCACGAATAGCAACACGATTTTCATCTGTGCCCATCACTCTTGCACGGACAGCAGTGATTTGTTTCCGAAAGGCGCGAATCACCGGGTTACTGATGGTTTTTTTGCTTTCCTCCTCTTTACTTGCCACGAGGAAATCCGCAGGAGTCAGTCGCTGAAAAGCTTCCCTATTTTGAAAAAAGGTGTTGAAATCAAGCTGTAAACAGGCCGATCGGCAAATTTGGCGTTTGATTTGCACACCAAAAACTTGGAACATGAAATACAGGTCCCTTCGAAAACGACCGTCATCGTATTGAAGCGCCCATCGGACATGTTCTTCGTAGGATACTTTAGTTCATCGATCTACTTCTAGGCCTCCTAGACCATAGGGGAACAGCAGGGGGAAAGTACCCAAAAGGTGATTAGCGTTCGAGGGACCGCCGTCCGTTCTTTGGCCAGCGTCTTCTCGTGGGTATTCGTTTACAAAAGTGCTTCCAGGACGAACTGCATAATCCTTGGTATTTGATGAGGGCGCGAAGTTACGCGTGGCCTCTCGGAACAGATCTTGGTCTGTGACGGCGTCACCAGAAATGTCGATAGCTCCGTGAGGTTGCAGCGGGAAAACGGCCGGTGCTGATGCCTTGTTAGAGATTAATGGTAGGAGCAAAACCAAGTGACTCACGGTACTCCTCTGTTTCAACCGCGCCATCGTCACGTAAAGCGTCAACTGGCAATAAGTCTGATGTCTGGTCATTCGCAGCAACGCAAGAAAAGGCGAAAAATGACCTGTTCTTTGTTGAAAGTCCCGTTCTTCGGCTTCCGCCACATTGTCATCTACGTCGTCGGAAGCATCCATGGGAGCATAACCCGCGTGTTCGCGAAGAGGGATGGATGGGTCTTCAGAACACCTCACAGTTGTCGTGAGTTCTTCAGGAACGTCATTTTCAGGTAGTTCTAGTAAACGTTCTTTGGAAATGTTGATGTTGGCGTACAAGGGGTTGTTAGCTTTGACTCTGTGGCGTTGAACTTTGAAGAGATCGGGAAGCGACGAGAGTGGTACGTTTTTTGCCCCGACGAATGTGACTGATAACACAGATGCCAATAGGCCAATAGGCCGAGGCATAAGATTTCCTGTCACCATGTCGGCGATAGCGCTAGAATCCAAATGGTAGCTTGAAACGTTGCCTCGTAGGCCGCTTTTCATGTGGTCGGGGTTGGTATCACGGTTGCGTTTTGGAAAAAGTTTGACAATGTATGCCACGGGGAAGTACAGTCCAACGAGAAGCCGTTCTGGTAGCGTTAAGATTGACAATTCGAAAGGCACTTCGCCGATCCACATGTTGTTAGCGAGAGATAATGGAGGGGTTATGCATATTGCCAACTTTGACCAGCATTGACGACAAATGAAATGAGGAGGCGGGCGTCGAAGTGGTGGGGCGTGGAGTAACATGCCGTTGTATAATTTCTGGGAGGCATGGGGGTGAGTAGGTTGTAGGCATTTAGGGTTTGGGATCTTTTCAGGTTCGCAGGTGATGAGTTCCTTCTGAAAAAGTCTTCGAGCACAGACGAAACAGACTCCTTTTTTGATTGCCTCGTTCCCCGTGGCGTCTATTACACTGTGAATTGGTTAGGGCGGTAGGGAAAGTGAATATCCCCCACGCACCGAGAAATGCAGTTTCGCACAGTTTCATCGTCAACGCGCTGTAGGAATGGGCCGTTGATGAGTTCCAGTAAGTCGCCGCCATGGACCATTTGTGGGGCATCGATAGGCTTCTTGACTTCCAGTTTTCGTCGTTTTCGGGGACGATTTGACGCGTCGTCGTTGCGCACGCGCTTGGAGCCTCGATTTGTTGTAGCTTGTAAGACTCGTTGGAATAACGCAGGAGGCAAGGTGGAAACATAGTTCAGCAAATTGTCCCGTTTGTGTCTGCAATTACGAGGTGCGGGTTGGATATCTTCCAGCATGAGAATAATTTCTTGGACCGTGTGCGTGCGCAAGGCCTGGGCAACGGCTGTTTGCATGTCAAGCGAGATTAAGAAGCAATTCAAGTAAGCAGACCTTGGAATTGCACAGACATTGCGCATACAGGCGCCGTTTCAGTGTTCTTTGTTGCGGCGGGGGGGAAATGGACGGGCAAAGGCTGGTCACGTTGCCTGTCCTTACCAATGAAGCTGTCGATTAATGATTCAGACGTTGGGATTTACATTTGCAGAGGCACTTACTCATGGGCAATGCAAGAAACTGAAGAGTCAAGTGACATCTTCTCTGTTGATCACGTGTTTGAATACTTCCGACCTGGGGAAAGGTGCCGTTCTCATGAAAATGAGGCATTTCTGGGACAAAGAACGCGATTATTTGAAGGATGTACCTTAGGGTAGTTGCACAGCCCAATGTTGTCTTTCTACATTGTGAACTACGACGTGCCAAGAGTGACGGGCTGGTCTCAAGCAAATATTGAGGTGGGGTTGTTATTTCTGCTTAACGCACAAAGACATCGCTATATCTCATATGACCCTTCCATCTAGCACATCCACCACTATACATTTCCCGCTTTCTGCGTCCGGAGGGGAGATATAGAATAACTGAGGTGGAAATTGATAATCGAATGCACGCGCTGGTAAGTACTTGACGAGGCGCTTTGCACGGATGACCCAACTCTTTGAGGTGGTCAGAAGCTGTCAAGGATGCAAACATAGCGGCGCACCGTTCTCCAGGTTACTAATTCAGCATCAGCAGAGAAATTGGGTACGGTCAGGTTGTAGAGCTCTACCACGCATTCCACGGGAACACCAATACCAAGGTTAGAGCCATTACTAGGCGTCCCATGATTCGATGCAAGAGGATTTAATTCAGTCTAAGCACACCAGAATCAACAACACCATTCGTTGAATGAGTTGCTGAACTCACAATGGTTAAGTGCTTTGCCAAAGTAACCTGGAGAAGGTACTCTTGTGCTTCGGTGATCAATGCCCACCCTTCCGTATGTGCGACTGTCTAAAGCGATGGATAAGCTTTCGTGGAGAGACGTCGAAAGAAAACGCGTCCCTTGCCGATGAGGGTGTTATCCATCAGCTGTGTGAACGCTTCGTGAAGTAGTTTGTAGCGAGGGCCCATTCCCCCGAGGAAAATATACTGCAGAACACGCTGTGAGTCAAGTCATAAACAAGTGAGTTATTTACTTGAGTGTCGTGGTCTTGATAAACATGTCGAACATTGCCTTTCAAGACAAAGCACGAGGGTCGTCCGTCCAGTACATTGCAGTAGGTCTTGAGATTATAGCCTGGTCCATCGAGGCAAAGATCGTTCAGCCGTAAAACACCAGGTAAGGGGAATGGGATGCAACCCATGGCAAAGCGAGACAGTGATTTGAAGGTGATCTCTTTATGCACTCAGCAGGCGGCAGATTACGCGTCACGGCGGGTCCGGCAAGTTGGTGGCAGCGTGAAAGGAATTGTTGGGCACCAAAACCGCGACCCTGAACCGGAATTCGGAGCGGTCAAAAGGCAAAATTGTACGCGCAGTGATTGCACTGCAATAAAATGGGTGCTGAGTTTTAGAAGGATGTTGGGTCTCGGGGTTGCCAAGTCAATCATAGAGCAGTATTCGTTCAAGGGCAAGTTTTTCGTCGACGGTGGACGTTGGATTGGTTAATAAGCAAGGTCACGGTCACGTATCGTGATTGTTATTGAGTGGGGGTCAAGTCTAATTTCTACCAGCAGTTTCTCACTACTACTACAACGCATTCATCGTCATGGTCAGCATCTCCACATCCTTTTCAACTTGAAAAGACTTCAGTATCAATGTTCTACACTGGGAGGATCACCAACCGTCTCCACTTTCCATGGCAAGTTGGAACGCATGGGGTGCAGTGAGTTGAACCTTCCTAGTCCACTCGTTTCCAGCGCGGTGATAAGCCGCATTCTGGAACACACATAGGAAACCACTATTTTTGTTCGTTTCATGGTTACAGCGCACGTCTAGGAACTGGCATGAGTCCCGAATGGCCAGTTAGGGAGATATCTGCGAAGAGGCGTTTCGATTCGACCGTTGTTGATAGCAACTGGCCGTTCAGAACGACTCTTACAACAACCAAAAACAACAGCAGAGCCCAACCAACATAGAGGATCCATCCAATCCTATATATATACCAAAAGGGGAGTGTAAACCAAAAGGCATATTCGGTCTGGCACACGCTGGGACTCGAACTCAGAACGCTCCGACGAAGGTTCAACCAGGCTTGAACGGATCAGTCCCTGACAGCATTGGAACGCGGTTTCGGAACTTACGCAAGGATAAGGACATGTGGAGGTGCGGTTAAACGGGAGGCATGACTCAGTGGAAACGAGGGCTTGGCTGCAGATCGCGGCGACCTTAACCCGCAACCGTCCAACCGAACAACTCGACAACAGATTGCGATTATCTCGTTAAGAGATTTGCCTAACGGTGTCTGGCGGTTAACCTCAAGTCATGGATATCGATGGAAAGCTAGGAAGTGGAGCAACACGACGATAACAACAACGGTTAGCGGACCGTTCACAAAAACGCATAGACGGTCGCAATAAAGGAGGATTTACAAAGGTCATTGACACCAAACACGCGCTACCGGTCATCTAGACCTGGATTTTCGACTCTGGGCCTTATGGCGAAACGATACCTTACAAATTATGCACATGGACCATCATTCTGTTGTGGCGATTTACCTGATCTTATCATTTTCTGTTTTAGTATTTATATCTCTGTCCTGTATTTGAGGCGATTCACGGATTGCCCAGCGTTACTAGGTGCATCTGGGGATCTAGCTTGTCAATATCATCCTGCTAGCTCTTTCATTCAAGTAAAAAGGCGTTGTGATCAAAGAGTAGAGGGTTCCGGTTGCCGTATAAGAGAGTTTCGGTTGGCGTACACTTGGTTTCGGTTGGCGGTCGAGAGTTTAAGGCAGTTAGTTCCTGACTTGAGACGACTCCTTGGGTTTAAGGCAGTTAGTTCCTGATCCAAACGAGTATAAACGGTTCTGGGCATCGTATTGGCGCTTTCCTATTGCTGGATTTCGTCGATAGTACGCTTAAGGACAACCACACAAAACAAATCTTTAACAAGATTTCATTCGATCTACCCTACAACCTTGCACACCCGTGTACAGGCTCTGTTCCCAGGGTTCTGCACTCGTATTAGGAGACGGTTATTGGTGGTTGTTGGACGTTTGGGAACGGTGTTATACGGTTATCGCTCAGACAGAACGACTATTTGTTGTTTTGTTGTTGAGTTTTAGTTGTGTAGTGTCGGTCTCATCTCCGGTCTCCCCACCCGTCATCCACCCTCATCATCTGGAGCCCACCGCGAGGGGTGATCGAGTGTCATATTGCAAAGAACTCTGTTTAGTGCAAAAATAGCTGTGACAAGAAAGAAGACAAGCAAGCGCCCACACGCTTGGATCAAAGTACAAAATTCCACCAAAAGGGAAACAGAAAGATCTCACTGATTCCCAACCAAACGACTTCCCTGGATTGTTAAGAGGCGTTGGAGAACTGCGACCAACACCACTTTTCGTTCCCAAATTAACGAAGAAACCAACACCGAGAACCACGCTCAACTCACAAGGAGCTCGGAACAGAGAAGCACCACAAAAATCGACGAAACCTCAAGCATCTTCGTCGCGAAAACCGATTCAAGCATCGAGCAAAAAGCGCTTACCAACAAAACCAGCTACAAAGCGCAAAACAACCGAAAGGAACACTACAGTCGAAGAAGAACAGCAATCGTCGACACCATCTTCGCCTTTAACGGACCTATCTGAAGGTGAACACAACACAAATCGGATTAACGAACAACCGATTGAACAAAACAACAACATGGGGGATAACGGAAACGTAAATAATGGAGGTCTGGGAGGAGCGGCTGCGCGTTTTAAAGTACCGGAAACCTGGGATTCGGGTCGTCCGAGTTTCGATGGGAAGACTCCTGGCAAGTTGGAGAAATTCCTAGACGAATGCGATCGCATTATCGACCAGGCAAGTATTACTGAAGCGGCGGAAAAGAAGGAGACGGTGTTGCGGTATTTGGATACTCGATATGTGAAGGAAGCGTGGAAGAACTTGACGCCATATGGAGGAGGAACGTTCAAGAGTGGAAAACGGCGATAAAGTCGATGTATCCAGAGTTGGATGAGGTGAACGAAGGGTCGAGGAGGCGTTTGAGAGAGATTTGCGCGGAAGCCAAGGGGGCGAGTCGAGAGGATTTGGGGTTGGTTACTGCTTTTGTGCGTTCTTCGTACCAGAAGCAGAGAAACTACTCCTGCCTCCCTCGTTGGTCACGAACAAAGAGTTGGTGTCCTTGATCTTGAATACGTTGCGTAGCGATTTCGCGTCAGCAGTCGAAGCGGCGCTGAACCAGCCAAATATCGCGAATATTCTAGGGCCAAACGCAAATGCAAATCAGAACGCAGCAAACACTCGTAGAGGGGATCGTTGGAGCTACAAGGAGGTTCTCAAGGTGGTGGCATGGCTTGCGAACAACTGGTCGGGCAGAGAAGCGGATGCGGTATCGAGGGATGATGCTAAACCATCGATCTCGATGTCGAATCTCAGTGGAGGACCGTTAACCTCGGATACGAGGGTCAAGTCGGAGTTTAGAGACCAAATGGAGAGTTTTGCGCTGGAAATAAATGCGTTAAAGGACGTCATGCCGTGCGGGATAAGCAGTTGATTGAGACTATGAAGCAGATGCATGTAGCAACTGAATCTAGATCGAAGGAAACAGCGACTCACCAGCACCAAGGGCAGCCTCAACGAGAATATCGCCAGGGTGGAGAGCGAAACTATGGTGGAATGCAAGGAAATGAACAGTGTCATTTCTGCGAAGAGACTGGGCATATGGTGCGGGATTGTCCGAAAAAGAGGGCGTTATTGGACCAAGGAAAGATCGTTATGGAGAATGGGGTTTGCGATTACCTGGTGGATATTATATCCCCAAGTATCCTGAGAACGTGTCACGTTATCAACGAGTGTTGGATTGGTATAGCAAG